AATGATAATTCTCTCTTGATAAAAAGGAGAAAACAACTCTCAAGAAACTTTCTAAATTCTCTCTAGTATTGGAAGAAAGCTAGAATGTTTTAGGATGGTTTTGAAGCTAAATGAGCTAGGGTATTTATAGTTGAAACTTAAGGACTAATTTGCAAATACCCCAAATTATAATGACTAAATTATGATTTTACCATAAAAATCAATATTTTTGCACCTTTCGGTGCCCCCTTTGACAAATCAATTGGTGCTTTCGGTGCACATGGCACCGTTTTTCAACAAATGAGACGAGACAACTATTCGAGATCGACTCGGTCAAAGCTCGATCAACACTCGAATCGAATGAACTCGACTCGAATTCTTAACGAGCTACTTAATACTCAACTCGAAAAGCTCGCGAGCTTCTCGAAATATAATTTTAGATTTTTTTAAATTACATTATTAAAAATACATTATTGATAATTATAATTTTTTAAAATATATTTTTAAATGTAATATAAGATTTTTATAAGTTCAAATTCCAGTTTGAGTTCGAACTTGAATCGAGCTCAAAATCGAGCTCGAGTCGAGCTCAAAATCGAGCTCTTGAATTTTTTTGAGTTCGAGCCTTTTCGAGTTCGAGTCGAGTTTCAATATTATATTTCGAGTTCGAACTGAGTTTGATAATTTTTAACTCACGAGTTTTCGAGTCGAGTCTAATTTTAAACTTTTCGAGAGTTCAGCAATACTCGAGCTCGACTCGGCTCGTTTACAACCCTACTCAGCACCCTCAGTTGCAATAAAATAATAAGCCTGCAGCATCAAAGGGTAACAATTTTGAACAATCCGAAATGATGAATCCAGAATGTAAATTAATAGCAAGAAAAAGACAGAGATACTCTTCAATATCTCTGCGTTTTCAAATTTTTGAGAGGTAATGTTTCATCCATTTTTGCTTCGATTTGGTCCTTGTACATGAATCTCTAGGAGTGATCGTTGAATTATTTTTTTAGTTATGTCAAAGAGCGTGCTGACGAATCCAACAAAGAAATCTTACTTGAAAGGTTATTGTAGCAGATGAAGGATGCTTAGATATAAGGATTGTGTAGGGAGGTGGGATGCTTAGATTTGGGATTTTAATAATCTAATGACCATCTTTGTTTTCCCTATAACATGCCAGATAACGGCCTTATGGTTTTACCGTTTTATCATTAGTAAAGGAGTATTTTAATATAAAATATTGTATTAGTTTTTAAGATTATCTTTTCAAATGAATATATATATTTGGGTATTTTCCAGAGTCAGGACTCGGTGCAATGTATCAAGTAAGCAATGGCTACGTTAGATGATGACATTAGGGTTGACTGCTCGGCGTTCTAGCCCTGCAAGCAACAAACAAACTAACGTGAATTTCCCATTGGTTTTTCTTTCTTTTTTAATTGCAGAAATATTATAATCTAATTGTTGATCTTGTGTCTAATTTATAAGATTCTGATTTATAACTTTTCCATTCAGAGTTGAAGCTCACCCACTTTTCTCATCATTTATTCCAAAGGAACAGATCAACTAGATTGGTTTCTGCTGAAAACCAAGCTGCTGTATCTTATCCTTGAGACTGAAAGAAAGGCAAGGGACCACGAATGAGGTGAGTCACCGAAGGATCAAAACAAATGGGATATGGCTGCACATAGCAGAGCAAGGGACAGGCCCTCTAGTTCTATTGCTGCATGGGTTCCCAGAAATATGGTATTCATGGCGCCACCAAATCACTTTCTTGGCTAATCACGGTTACCATGTAGTTGCTCCTGATTTGAGAGGCTATGGAGACTCGGATTCCCCACCTAGCCCAACCTCCTACACTAATATGCACCTTGTTGGGGACATCATTGGCCTGCTTGACCATTTTGGGGAACTACAGGTTGTTTCCACTTCCCTTGAACATGATGCTTCTCTGTTGCCAATTTGTATTGTGTTAAAAGCAAATCTGTTAACAGTTTTGAATTATTATTTATGGCAAGGCTTTTGTCGTGGGACATGACTGGGGAGCTGTTATCGGCTGGCACTTATCCCTGTTTAGGCCTGAGAGAGTCAAAGGATTGATTAACATATCTGTTCCATACTATGGAAGAAACCCGGATGCCAAACTTGCTGAATTCTTAATCTCAACATTTGGAGATGGATTTTACATTTCCCAATTTCAGGTAAATTCTGTCTGGTTCGGATGTTCATAAGGTCGTTGATGTTAATTTGTTTTGAATAGGAACCGGGAAGAGCGGAGAGGGCATTTGCCAGGTATGATTGCTTGACAGTGATAAAGAAGTTCTTGCTGATTACTCATACTGATAATCTGATAGCTCCTCCTGGAATGGAGATTATTGATTATCTGGAGATACCGTCACCGTTACCGCCATGGATTACTGAGATGAACTGCAGGTTTTTGCTGACAAGTTTCGGGAATCTGGCTTCATCGGAGCTTTTAATTACTACCGTGCTATGGACTTGTAAGTTCTGATGTTTTGCTTAGTATCATTTGTCCGAAATGGATGACTTGGTGTGTTCTCTTGTCATGGTAGAGATAATGTTCAAATTGTTAAAACAGGAATTGGGAGCTTACTCACCCTGGCAAGGATAAAAAATCAGTGTTCCGGTCAAATTTATGGTAGGTGAGAATGATATTGGTTTTGAAATCAATGGCACAAGACAATACGTACAGGGAAGTGAGTTCAGGAGCCTTGTTCCCAACCTGGAAGTTGTTATTCTAGATGGTCATCATTTTCTACAAGAAGAAAAACACCACCAAGTCTCGGAGGAAATTCTATCGTTTCTTCGCAAATTTCCTGCAGAATAGCCGACTTCTCTGGTTTTTCACCATGATTTTCCCGAGAAAATAACTAGCCTCTGTATGCCGTCTTCCCCTGTATGCTTGTCTAGTGTGGTTGTGTAGTGGGAAAGTAGTTGAAATTACCACAAATAAATAAGCAAGTTAATCTTCAGTGACTCCACATGCATCAAAATCAGTGAGTCCACATTTTCATAAACCATTTGAAAACGCCATGCACTTCTTGCCCATTTCCCCCCAAGAGAAAATCAAGCGAAGTTGAAAGCAAAAAAACACAATCAGTTCATGAAATTGTACAATATAAGCAGATTTTTTGTTTGTACCAAAATTTGCCATAGTTCAACTCCATATACGTGACTAAGAAAAGCTTTAAAAATTTCTCTACCAGTTCACACACCATAACCGAACTTTAATCCATGTAAATATAATCTTTTTCCTTCCTCAGGTAAAGCCCATTTGAACTTGCAACTATGTGAAGCTCAAATTTCATAAAATTATGAATATAAACTTTACTCATATAATCAGAGCTTAAGAAAACAGAGTAAAAAATGAACAATGAATCAAAGTTATGTCTTGAATTTTTCAAAAATAAATTTTATTCAAAATAAATTTGCAATAATGATAAATAAGGTTGAATCAATATGTATGATGTTAGGTTAATTTATAACAATAAATAAAATAAAGATTTTATACTATAATATAATATAAATTAAATGAAAGGATTTAATTAAAAATAATAAATTAAAATTCAATATCAATATATTTCCTCCGTTCTTCCGTTTTCATAGCGCCACTCTCTTTTTGCCTCTTTGGTTTAGCTTCCCATCATCAAGAGCCTTCCTTCGTGCTCAAGGTATTTTCTTTTTCTCTCTCTCTCTCTCTCTCTCTTTTCATCTAAATTTCTTATCATAATCTTGAAGTCCATTTCTACAACAATGGATTATGTATGCCTTGGAACAATTGGAACCGATGATGCTGCTTATTGTCACTTAAGCAAAAGCAGTAAAGTGTGCAACTGCTCTATTAGCTGGAGAAACAGGTCTCGATATAGACCTTAATGCTCTCGATCCAAGTTTGGTTCAACTCTACTGCTTTTAGTTAGTTGACTTATATATTCGCAATGGAGCTCGGTCGGACATCATATGTAAGGGCATGTTGCCTTTAAACAACGCTCTTCTCCGCATAAGGTATTGGTTTGGAATCATTTTGCAACTTGGTGAATTGTTCTACTGATCTGTTACATATAGAAGTAGGGTTGGGAAGTAGTGTATTAATAATCCATTTTCATTTATGTTTGCACGTTTGCTTTTTATTGCAGAGGGGGATATAAAAATGTCGATTTGTGGAATATGAAGATTTGAAATATCACTTCTTCTATGTTGCCTACCATCTTCTGCTTGCATTTGTCAAATATTTAGAAATTAAAAGAAAAAACGTTAATTAGGGCTCCTGTCTTCAATAATATACAGTTTTTCTATTTTGTTTCAGATGGGCTTCAGCTGAGAAATTGCTGAAACACCATCGGCAGTTTCTGACATTATTAGGTAATTGCTTTAGCTGTTGCTTTGTTCTGTTACTGATTAGATTGTGAAGCAAACAATATGCAAGATCTTCATAGTTTTTTGTTTCAAATTTCAATTTGGCTTGTTATTTGGTTTAGTTCAGTGAGATCATGGGAGTGCAAGGAAAGAACAACGAATGTTGCCAGAGGGTTTATGCACAACTCCACAAGCCCTAGTGGTAAAAACGGGTCGGGTCAAATATGGTCTTGAAGTTCAACCCAAACTATTCAGCTTAAGCATCCCCAAACAAACTAATCAAATTGAAGGATGGTAGGTACTTGGACACAACTCAATCCATGTCGATTAGGGTCGTAAAAAAATCGAGTTTAAATGAATAAAGATGTTTTAAGAGTAAGCAAGAGTTTCAAGAGAACTCATGTCTAAGTCCTTGCCGAAAAATACAAATAAATTGCAGAAATGAAATTATATTTCCATTTGAAAGAAGGAAAGCAAACAATAACACGGAACGGGAGAAGGCATACAAACTTTACATCCTCTCTAAAAATATAAAATTTATATATTTTTTAAATATTTTTATTAAAAATATGTTTTCGTTACCTAAAATTTTATAAATTCTCTCGTAATTTTATAGGTTCATCCCTAACATGAAATCTTGCTTGAAGACTATATTAATAAGTATTAACCTTCCTGCAGTTCTTTCTGATCTCACCCTTATAACCTGTCAATGGTGAGATATTTCCCACCTTAATCATGGACTCTGCAAATTGTTCAAAGAAAAGTTGCTGGTTGTAAGCGTATTTCTTCACCAACTCCCTTGAAACATCATTTTTGGTAAACAGAACTTGGTCAGAGCTCAATAAACCCTTGTAAGCCAACAATTTCTTGAAGTAGCTGTTATCAAACTTCACTGGGCTCACAAAATCTAACGAAAACAGGTTCTGGTCACCTCCTGATCTCGGACAATGGGTGCCCAAGTAAGCAGCATATGATTGATCGAGTGTGTCGTCTGGTTTTCCATTGCCTGATTGGTTGTAAAGTCTCTGCCTGAAGCTGGTGCATCGAGCATATCCTAGAGTGTGGCTCCCTGCATGATAAAAAAAGAACCATGTGGGGACATTTGATCATGTTGTTAATGTTTTGCCTTCTTAAGAACATCAATGCAAGAATACCAGTCGAGTAAGTTTACCAGAAAGTGCGACAAGATCAACGATGTCGAGGCCTTGTAGCTTGAACTTGGTGAGAATAGTTTGAAATGTGTTGTTTGGAGCAGGGATATTGTTGTTAGAGCCACTCAAGCTAGCACCTTTGGAGTCCCTTCTTCCAAGGGGGACTTCCCAGTTAGGTCCACCGGTCTGCAAATCCGAAAGAAGTTTAAATTCGAAGCAAAGCTATGGCTAATTAGAGCATCGGGTGAAACTTACAAGAACAGTAGAATCTCTAGCAGCTAGCGCCATAATATCAGCACACGATACTGTGTGAGGACACTCTTTCTCTATTGCAGCTTTGATTTTATCTATGACTTCGAATCCCCTAGCCGAATCGCGGTTAGGGTTCGAGCTCTTTTCGCTAATTATGTCCCCGCTGCTGTCTAGCAAGATCGATGCATCACAACCCTGTCCCAGAAACAAGGTTTTCAAGGGCATTTATTACTATGTGATATACTAAAAGTAGTGTCATATGTGGCAACATATAGAACAAGACCTTGACAAAGCAGTCATGGAAGTGTAGCCTAAGCAATGAAGCAGCCATACGAGGATCCTCTGCAACAGATTTGGCTACAAAGTGTTTTGCGATCTCTTGAGCTTTCGGACACGAGCGGTAGTAAAACTGAGGGTAGAGGTATCCTCCTCCTGCTGCGTTGCCGTAGAAACAAAGGGGAGCAAAGGAAAGAAGAGAAAGAAGAGTGATAAAACCCATGGAATAAGCCATATTGGTTCTAATAGCTTTGTTTATGGTTCTAGACCAAAATCTAGACAATTGAAAGTTGAGAAGAGCTAAAATATGAAGAGAAATGTACAAAACATGCTTGTGATGAGGGATTTTTAAAGGAGAAATGGGTTGAATGGTGGGAAAATTGATGAAAAGAAGATTAGGTAAACTGGCTTTGTATCAATCAAAAATAGGGAAAGATATGTAAAGGTTGGAGTTAGTAGCAATATGCGAATATTTGCATGGCGATGGTGACCAATTCACATGAAATGTATTAGTTATAAGCAAAACATCATATAACAAAGCAAGCTTTTGGATTAGTTCATTACATAACTTTTAATCATGTAATTGAGTTCGGGCGGTCGGGAGTCTATTCTATCATTTTTTTCATTGGTTTTTCCATTTGTATGTGATTTATTGATAGGTTAATCTAAATCAGATACTGCATAGATCTATTATAGTATATACTCTATCAACCAGTTAACTCCATTAACAACACATCAAGATTCAAACTCTAACCTTACTCAAAGGATTTAGAGTCTCATCCTACTAAATCCACTATCAAATGTTATATTATAAAAATATATTCTATAAAAAATATTCAGAATTCAACAAATCTAACCTAGTTCTTTTAAAATTAAACTACAACAATAATAATAATAATCCTTAAAAATAAAAACTATATTTATGTCATAATCAAATGCAAAAATTGTTTATAATATTGTTATGTTATTTTTTTATGTTTATAGTATTAATTATAATTCGAATTAGCTTGTAAATGGTCTCAAAAATACATTTTCATTTGTTTTCCATTCGAGTTTTGTAACATAACAACATTATAAACAAAATTTTATGCATTTGATTATGATATAGATTTATATTTTTTATATTTTTATTTTTAAAGGAATATTAATAATAAATTTATTATTATGATTTAATATTACATAAATTCTAATAGTTCTAGGTTAGATTTATTGAGTTCTATATATTTTTCGGTGAATCAAACACTAGATTCATTTTAGGAATGTCAAAAAGGAGTGAGTTATAAATTTTATGGCTTAATAGTTGACAACGACAATGGACAATGCCGATCGACGATCAACAGTGATAGTGGTGAGTGGTGGCGGCGACGAGAGATTTTGGTCGAATTCAGGGTCAAATTAATATTTTATCTGAAGTTTAAGGGTCAAATGAGACTTCATCTAGAGTTCAAGGTCTAACTAGTATTCAATCTAAAGTTCAATGGCAAAATTAAAAATTAAACCCTTTTGACTAACTTGTCACCTTATCAAACTAACAAGAATTAATAACTTAGACCAAAATTTAATAAATTAATAACGTAAGTGACCAAAACTTAATTTTTTTAATTTAATGAGAAAAAATGTGCAAATAGGAAAGGAAAGCAATCAACCAATAGTTTACCCTTCTTGTTGTCATGCTTGCACACGGTCATGCTAAATTTTTTTTTGAACAATTCCTATAATCTAGGAAAATGAAAATGAGAGAGCTTTTAACCACTTATTTTAGAGTTGTTAACGGTCATGCTTGAATCTTTAAAATATTTCTTATATTATACATTCATCATAAGCTTCATGTAATATAATCCATACATCTTTTGTTTTAGCTCGACGATGTAATTTTTAAGCTGGCTCGACGGTATAATATAAACAATATTAATTCCATAAAATACAACTCAAATTATGAGATCAATTTCATATCACAGTCAATAGGTTAATTTTCAGCTCAGACTATCGCCCATTTTTTAACAGAAAATGATAAGTTTGGAAATCTGAACATATGATTAGTAAGTGATTATTTTGTAACTTTAATAGTTAGATGACTAACAGAACAAAGTCATATCGATATTTTAACTTTTAACAATTGGGGACTCAACAAAACATTATATTATCGAGAGACTCAACAAAACATCGCCTATAACGAGAGGACCATTGTGTTCTTTACCCACTAAAATATATATGGAATTTATCCAATTAAAACTCAAGTATATTTCCTTTAATGATTTAATTGCTCTATACTTTCCAATTTGTTTAGGTTCAAATACACTCTTGGCAATTTTTTTTGAGAAAATCGCCTCAGTGACCAAAAAAAGTTTAATACGATTTTAACCAACTTTTTGGATTTGCCAAAATGACCAACAAAATCGCAACGCGAAATAAAAATCGCAACGCGATCCCCAGAATCGCAAATCAGTTCCAAAATCGCAAACGCGATTCTTGAAAATCGCGATGCGATAGTACAAATTCGCATTGCGATTTTCAATAATCGCAACGCGAATGAAATCGCAACGCGAACACATAAATCGCAACGCGTATCCGTAAATCGCAACGTGTATCCGTAAATCGCAACGCGTATGGTAAATCGCATGCGTATCCGTATATCGCAACGCGTATCCGTAAATCGCAACGATAATACATAAAATCGCAACGCGTATCCGTAAATCGCAAC